CCGGACGCCTCCAAGGGTCCGGCTGCCGCGCCGGGCTCGGACGACCGCACAGGGCGGGACGAGGGAGCTTGGGAAGCGGCAGCAACTCGCCCCCCTTCCGCAAAACCCTGGCGGCGGGCGCCGGGCGGTTCACACCACGGACACTGAAAATCCACCGACCCAGCCAGCGCTTCTGGCCACCCAGAACCACACTGGTCAGTTAAGAGATTACCGGGATCTAGCCTGCCTTCCCCGTCAAGCGAAACTCCCACAGACAATTCGTAATCAAAGCGGTCAGGGGATAAGCCTTCCATCTCAGCCCCGAGATACGTTTTCTAAGGAAGATCCTGGTGGATTTGCAGTAAATTTATGGAAGTTTTAGTGCTTTTGACAGGCGGCTTTCACATGAACGATGACACTAAAGGCATCAATAGCCACATTTAAGAAACATGAGATGACACTGCTGTTTGGCGGCCTGGAAGGGGACCCTCCTGCCGCCCCACCTGCACATCCAGGAGGGAGCCCAAGCAGCCCCCGTGCTACAGCAGCACCCGCTTCTGCTCAGACTCCTGTCTGTTGCCATTAAACCAAGAAATCTCTGCTTGTAATGGGGAACAACATTTCCAGAGATTAAAAAGTCAAAAGATTGGAGGGAAGAGTAGAGACACGACACCGAAATAAATCCCAGTCTATTTTTTATTATTAATTTCTGAGCCACTTAAGATTTTCCATCCTGAAGATGACACCGTAGCATTTCATCACCTCTGCACACGTGGGGACTAAGGGGTGGCTGTCCCTAACCCAGATCTCACTTGCCTCCTCAGTGACCTCGTACCTGGCAAAACCACCTTCGGCATCCCCCAGCTCCACATGCCGCTGCTGGGAGCCGCACGTCATCAACCGGAGACGGGCGGTAAGTGAAGACCCTCACACCTTATCACTGGGCAGCAACTGCAGGCCTAAGCTCCCACGACAACAAACAGGTGAAGTCTGACTCAGATCTCTCGGCATTTTAAAAGCCTGTTTAAATGCATTCATTTTTGCCACGTTAGTATATTGAAGCATGGAAATAGTGACCACTTCACTCAGGGTAAATGCAAGGACAGATCCATCAGGAAGGACAGTAACAAACTGTTACCTTCCCTGAAGAAAGGGATGACAACGATCAGTTCTCCAAATATTTATACGTGCTTTCAATTCATACAGATTTTTCCTCCAATACAGTAACGAAGTAGTTCAGGAAGAATTGTTTTATCCATGCATAATTTTGCTGAAGTTTCACTTTTTCTTGCCAAGAATTTGAGAGGCAGAATTGCAACACAAAATGGCAGCTGAGGAAGGGTAGCATGCATTGCTAACACTGGCCCCAATCTGTACCTCCACCAGTAAAAAGCCCAGTTTTCTTTACCTTTTCGGTTCATCCCCATCTGGAGGCATTTGAGCAGCCGGCAGTACTGGCATCTGTTGCGCTGTTTGCGTGACATGACGCAGTTCTTGTCTCGACTGCATCTGTAAACCCGCTTGTTGCAGATGCTCCTTTTGAAGAACCCCTTGCAGCCCTCGCAGGAGATGATCCCATAGTGCAGCCCCGTAGCTCTGTCCCCGCAGATCAGGCAGGTTCGCTGATCCACCCGCTCATCTGGAAGAGAAGACGAAAGGCTTTGCGGTCAACAAAACGGCTTCACTGAGCAATCAGAAACTCTCCCGAGGGGACTGGGAAAGTCTCAGCACCCCGTGGCCTGCCCGGACAGATGTCTGCAAAGCAGAGCGCAGCACGGGCGTTCACGCAGAAACGCTGGTCTCGGCAGCCCGGCACAGCCCGGCCGGAGGTGCCGCCAGCACGAGGCTCCTCACCACCTTTACTCGTTCAGCACAGCAAGGTGTGCAGAGGGGTTTGCCTCCAGCTCTGGAGCTTCACAGGCCTGCCACAAATCCAGTTCCTCAATTGCCAATAAAGTCATTTCAATTCAACGTATTCATAGGGTATTAAGTCCAGAAATTCTCAACAGTGGCAAGAAGAATGAAGAAAAGTAAAACCCAAGTTTGTTTAAAAAACAGCCTCTCAGAAATGCCCTTAGTCACACAATTTATCAGAAATGAAAGCAGTTTGGGAAACGAAGCACCGTTTACATCGCGAGGAGCACACGTTACAGCTGTAAGAGGCCACATTGCTGCAGTGTCTGGCTCTGCCACGGAACACGGTCTCCTCCCTGCATGGGCAAGAGGTCAAACCCATCACCCGGGGGCCAAACAAGTCCCCGAGTGGCTTCCCTGGCACCACCTTATTTATTCCCTTAACGAAGAACAGAAAAGAGAGCAAAGAAATGGATGGTGTTTTCTCATCAGCGTGGCACAAGCATGCTGCGCTGCCCCAGAAGTTTATTTTATTCCCGATTTCCAGGTTTCTCTCTGAATGCTCCTCTCGGTGCCCAGTGGTGCCAGCACCCGCTGCGGGCACGCAGTAGGAAAACCCCTGAGTTTCTGTAAGGTCAGTCTGATGAAGAGGCAGCCGGCTGTCGGGCTCGTGCGGATCCATTGCACAGCGCTGGAGAGCAGCAGCGCATGGCTGCAAGGGGAGGCTCCATCTTTCACTTTCCCAGCGCCGGGACAGGACCCTTAGAGCAGGGGCGAGAGCGCGGCTTTCCCCGGCAGCCTCCATCATACTTCGTGCTGTTCTTAGCAGAGAGGAACAGAAACCCTGAGGGGAAAAAGGGTCTAAAGTGCCCTGCATCAACTGCACAGACCAGGGTGTGCAAACACAGAAATCGTGCCGGGCGGACACCAATGCATGTGAAATACTGTCACACCTCGCGTATTCCCAGGGGCATGCAGAGGGACCCGGCCACCTCCTCGCTTCCTCCTGCAGCTCCAGCAAACGCCAGCAAAAGCCTCACGGCACAAGTCACCACCCAGAACCCAAGTGAATTACGTTATTCGTTATTACAGAAATGATGGCCCGGTTAAGTCACAATGACGTGATTTTACTGTTCCTTTTCCAAACCTTTGGAAGGCCTTTGGATGGCTAAAAATGTAAATTGCAGGACTCGCAGCAACAGGAGCCGTCACATTAAATTCAGTATCTTAAGACTCTAACGTTGCCTGTGAGACAGAGCAGGGACGACGCACAGCTCAGCGAGAACCTGTGAGCTGGCAGTGATCTCCACAGACACCGATGTCAAACGGAAAGGAAAAAATAAACGATGGCTGAAGAGACCCCAGTAGTCAACCCAGATGGATCCTCATTACCTCGCATCTGCATAGGGAGGCCCAAACCTTGCTTCACATTAACAGTCAGCAACACTTAAAATAATGCCAGCAAGTTGCAGCAGCAGCTTTTCCTGCGGCAGATGTTTAGCACAGCCAAACAGCTTAACCCCTTGCATGCCAGGCCAAGCTGCCTTCCCCCTGCCCCAGTGTTTTAACCCCTTAATATCCCGATAGTTGCAAACAGAGCTGCGCTTCGAAGATGGGCACTATTCGAGTGCGTTCAGGGGTGCACACAAATCTGCAGTATACTTCATGGCGTTGCTTTCCCAAATGTCAAATAATCATTACCCAGATGACTAGATCACCCTGGCTGAGCAAGGCAGAGGCATCGAGGAACTGAAATGACATCGCTTTGGTTTGGAGCAACAGGATTTGAGGAACCACACTTCTGTCTTTCACTCAGTTGCCCATTTCCTATGGATGCTGGTTAAACCAGATTATTTCTGGTATTTCTTGGCTTGAACACACAACTGTGCAATCTCCAACGGGCAGAAATACCCACAGCTAAAGCAGGACCCGGGAGGTGGCAACGGTTCTCTGCAGCTCTGTGGGGACGGATGCCGCACGTGGTTTCCCACGCGAGCCTTGGGTACCCAGAGTTTAACTTCAGTGACTCAGCCCTTTCCCTCTGGAGTTTGTGTGATACATATATTTAATCACATTTAGTTAAGGGCGAGCTGTTTAGGAGACACAAGAAGTGCATGCGCTTTCCAGGCCCCGCCTCGCAGATGCAGGCTGTGCTGTGCAGGAAGGTACTCCTCTACGGCCCAACTGTTCAAAACGCAGAGGAGAAACTTCTCTGCTGCAGGAGCTCATTTGATAGCTACAATTCAAATTAACGGGGAAATCAGGAGCACGTGGCAGTGCTTGGGGGAGACACCGCAAAGCAGTCAAGGTCGTCCCTTGGGAAGGGGAAGGTGGGACAGCCCAGACCACACGGCGTTTTGGACTGCCGGGGAGGAGAGCAGCCAAAGCTGCTTTTTCTCTTCCTCCGAGACGGCCGCGAGCTGCAGAGCGAAGGCACTCAAGGGCCAGTGCTCCTTTAGGTACGTCCAGGTGACAGGAGCAGAAGAGAGGGTGTACACATGGCACCCTTAACACCTCAGCAGGGACAAAGGCTCCTTCTAGACAGCACCCGAGCGGCCACAACGGCGACTTGTCCAGGTGACGAGGAAATTACAGCAATGCTCCGGCGTGGGCGGCAGAGGGTCATACGGTGTTGGAGATGACGGGGTCTTGACGGGTAAAGGAAAGTGGTTGAGAAGATGAATAACAGGAGGTGGGGAGAGGGCAGTAAGAGAAGGGAGGGAGACAGACAGACCAGTTCAGAAAAAACAAGGAGACAGTATAAAGGACAGAAAGAATGAAAAAAAACCTTGAAGAGCAAGAAGAAGGAAAAGAAGAGTACAAATTCAAACCAGAGAAACCACCTGACACGATTACTCTAAAAAAGGTAGCACAGCCAGAGCAGGAAGGGAGGAAGAAGCTGGGCACAGTGCCGGGAGCAGGCAGGGGCTGACCCGCTGCCTCACGCAGGAGATGGAGTGGGGCACGGCAGCTGCCTGCACCCACCGTCCCGCGCCGGGAGCTAACGAGAAAGCTCAGACTGGGCAGACGCACAGCTACACAAATCTGCATCGTGCCTGGTGTGCTACCCACACCCCGTTGTTCCCGGTTTGTATCACTCAGTGAAACGATACAGACCTTGAAAAACCCCAACCTTAGGACGGCACCGGCTTGTGACGATGAGCTGGTTCAAACTCACTTCAGCACGACAACACCGAGCCTGGTTTTCCTCACTTAGATTTGACCAGGGAGTTTTCTGAGACAAAGGTGGTTTTATCTACAGGAGTTCTGTTGCAGCAGGAGGTAGAAGTCACAGTGAAGTCCCCTCCAGTCTCGTTAAAGCCTAAGCAACCTGACAAACCAGTGCGTAACTTCTTACTACTGGAGAACATGTGAACGCAATAGAAATAAATGAGCCAAATGTATTAGGATCAGAAATGAAACCAGTTTTCAGTTACACAAGCCAAGCAGAAATCCAAACCAGCTGCTCTTCACAAGCAGCTGCTCTTCACAAGCAGCTTTCTCCACAGTTTAAACCCAGTAAAAACCATAACCAATCTGTATTAATCTTCAAAAGGTTTGCTAATGCACAGCATGCAAATTTGCACTTTTCTGCAAATTTCACTGCAATTGTTATAAAACCTTAAAATAAAGGGATGAAGGAAGGAAACACAAACTTTAACTAAAGAAACATTCATGGCGTCGTCACCACACTAAAACATTCCCAGTTTTACAGGACAGACAACCTCAGGTATGTGCTTAATGAAGACTGCAGAGGAATGCTGGTAGAGATCAGGACTGGGGCTATCGGAGCATCTCGCTGAAGGGAGGCAGCTAAACATGACTTTGTAGTCACCAATTGCATAATCTCTACCTTCAGCTATCTGATAAACGCTGGGAGGGGGCCGGGGGATTAGCCTAGGACAGAAGAGTCCTCTATCTGCAGGGTTTAGCTCAGCCTCAGCTTAACTCCTGGCCCTCCCCCTGCTCCCACCAGCAGTGCCATAAATCGCGGGCGCTGGGGGATCCCGGGGTCAGCAGCAACGGCCACGCTTGCCGCCGGGCATGCCGTGCCACGGCTGGGCGGGCTGGGGCAGAATTAGGGAGCCGTGAAACTACCGGCTTACACACATGGCAAAAGGCAGACGAGGACGCTGTGGATTGCTGCAGCATCACGGCACGGCGCCCCAGCCCGCAGCGTCCCGTGGCGGATCACGGGGCTCCCTCCTCACCGGAGCATGTTGATGGCCGAGGATGTAAATGAGGGCTCATTTCCAGCCGCAGCTTTTTTGTTGTGGGAAGAATAGGGCCGTCGCCTGGCGAACATGGGAAGCCTGGATGATTAAAGCAAGGAGGAATCAGAATCCTTCCCTCGCCGTCCCCATCTCCCCGCTAGCAGGGTGACGGCGAGGCGGTGTGAATGGCCCCATCGCCACAATAACTGCACATGCCTGCCTGCAGAAACTGTTAATTGGGTGCGTTTCCAGATTAAAATTCACCGTAGAACAGCGGCACACACCATGAACAAAGACACAGACCTCCAGGAACTAGAGAGGTGCCCGTACACCCTGTAAACTGCCGCTCAAACAAAAGTGGTAGATAAAAAATAATTACCTACAGAAACTCTTGGAGTTTCAGAGGTTTAAAAAAATCCTGTAGGAACCGTGACCAGGCCCAAAACGCTCCCCCTGCGGCCCACGGGTTTGCCGGCTCCTGACCTTTGCTATTTTTCACCCTACTTAATGCAAGCGCCTTGCGTAGGCGAATGGTGGGACAGCCGGGGCAGAATCGCAGCGAACTTTACAGAAATAGTAAAGCACAGGCAAATTTAAAGCAGTTTTGTGCTGGGGGTGCTCTGGACTTCCTTAACCTTGAAATTTCACTACAATCTCAAAACACATAGTAAGTATAATAATTTTAAAGCGAGTAGTCCTCCCTCTGCCCTGGCTCCGTTACCTCTCATCTCACCGATTCCTCTGGATTCAAAAGCCGTACAAGACAACGTAGGTTAAGAAATAAAGCAATTGATAAGAAGTTTTTTCAAATATCTTGCACATGTTTTATTTCAGAGAGAGAGAGGGCTGAGGAACCTCCCCCCCCCCCCAATTTTCCTGATGGGTCTTACATTTAACGAACTCATACACGGGATATTCTGGCTTTGTTCTCACAACCCATTGTAGCAGGGGCCACTAAATCAAACAGTTGCTGCTACGACAAAAGCACTCACAAAAATCTCAACCTCATCTTGAACCCTGAAGATTTTTATGGCTACTCCCTCGCTAACCCCTCCCCCAAGCCACATTAAAGGATGTATTGTTTTCAAAGGTCATGGTAGGTTTCATACCACATTTTAATACAATGTAAATTCTCCAAGAATATTATGATGTTACACAAGAGTCACAGAAGACGGTGTGAGAAAGAGAAGAAATCTCTACTTGTCTATATTTTATAAGGCAAACAGTAGAAGCAATACACTTATTTTTTAAAAGACTTGCCTTTCCCCTCAGCGAAATGAGTAGTCTTGATAATTTTTAAAAGAAAATTCCTATGAATTTC